AATGGTTACATACTCTTAGAAATCACAATAATTACTCTAACCGTGTTTATCTTATTATGCCAAAGGAAACGTTTATTTTATAGAAATAAAGAATGTAGAATAGTATATAAATTATTTTCATTCTGATTTAATTAACGGTATTTCATAAATCTTCCCAAATTATAAAATACTAATAGTCAACAAGTACACCAAATACTAAGAGTCAACATGAACATCAAATACTAATAGTCAACAAGTACACCAAATATTAATAGTACAACAAGTACATCAAATACTTATAGTCCATAAGTATACCAAATGCTAATAGTACAAGTAAATCAAATGTCAATAGTACAACAAATACACCAAATACTAATAGCACAATAAATGCAACAAATACTAATAGTCAACAAGTACACGAAATGCTAATAGTAAACATGTACACCAAATACTAATAGTACAAGTACACCAAATACTAAAAGTCAACAAGTACACCAAATGCTAATAGTACAAGTACACCAAATACTAAAAGTCAATAAGTATACCAAATACTAAAAATCAACATGTACACCAAATACTAATAGCACAACAAATACTAATAGTTAACATGTACACCAAATACTAATAGTCAACAAGTACACCAAATGCTAATAGTACAACAAGTACACCAAATACTAATAGTCAACAAGTACACCAGATATTAATAGCACAAGTACATCAAATGCTAATAGTACAACAAATACACCAACTACTAATAGTACAAGTACACCAAATACTAATAGTACAAGTACACCAAATACTAATTGTCAACAAGTACACCAAATACTAATAGTACAAGTACACCAAATACTAATTGTCAACAAATACACCAAATATAAATATTTCAATAAATACACCAATAAATAATAGTACAAGAAGTACACCAAATACTAATAGTACAACAAATACACCAAATACTAATAGTACAACAAGTACACCAAATACTATCAGTATAAGTACACCAAATAATAATTGTCAACACGTACACCAAATACTAATAGTTCAATAAATATTATTTTGTTATTTATTTCTTTACACATAACCACTGATCAAATAAAGGATTATCTTTTGATTTGCAAGTTATAATTCTCACTCACTTTATCTTATTTATTAATGTTGAAGACACGTTTTGTTTTGTTTTTTAAATTAAGCATAAATTAAGGTATTAACATCTGTACAAAATCAGCTTTTACGTCAGGATTCATTCCCAAAATAAATATTTGCATAATGTTCCTATAACCTTACTGCTTCGTATTTCATCACCATATCATCTAGAATTACCAATAATTAATTACCAACAACAGTATAGTTCAGTCTTACTTTTGAATCTTGGATATATTGTTGAAATATTACCTTAATCTTTTCATCTGAGTCAAAACCTTGCTGACCTAAATATAAATTTTCAATCAACGATTGTGTTTGCAATTATCTTGTACACTTAAAATAACCTTCGTAATATATGGAGGTGGAGTGGTCTTTGCCACCTAAAATACACGTCGTCTTTGATATTTTACTTTTATTTAGTCTAGATACTCCTCTGGTTCTTATACAATTTCTGTCTCATAAAAAATATGTCCGTCGTTTTTTAATTATCACTGGATAATAAAAATTTCATTTGGTCAGAAGATATTGGTCTCCAGTATTCGACAGTTGTCGCTCCATAATTATAACGTTTTTTTAACGGACTTAAGGCATCGGGAGTAGGTTCTAAAAATAACACTAGATGTACATTCCATAATTTTAACGTTGTTTTTTGAATGGGCTTAATATATCCGATGTAGCTTCTAAATAATACCCCTTGATACACACTGCAGGACACACGGTACTAATTATATGAAAGAACTGTGAACCAATCTAGAAATGGGTGAAAAAATAATAGAGTATATACGGGTTTGGTCGTCCATAATTAGTTAATAATGAAAAGTTAAATTTTAGTACAAATATCTTTTGAGAGCTTATCCTATCTGTAATTTAAAAATAATATAAACAAAATTATATTAATGTAATTTTAGTATATTTATAGATTTGATTTAGGAATACTCAATAATAAAAATAGCGCCTTATTCATTTGGTGCAGAATCAATAACGTGTGTTTTATGTACATATAGAGAAAAGAAAATAATCCGCGGCTCATATGGTGTTCTCCACAGAGACGCTTGCACCAAAGTTAGTTGTGAATAGTGAAATATAAGTCTATTCATCAACACAGAGAAATTGTAAGTTAATGAGTTTGAAATATGATGATGTTTCTATATATTTACTATGGGAGTTGAATTAGTACCGTGAGTCCTCCATAATTATAACGTTGTCTTTTTAATAGGCTTGAGTCGACGAAGACCATTCTAGTCATCCGTGAGTTGAAGGGGCTAGTTCTATTATGTGTGTGCTTAGGTGGCTGATAAGGCCAATCCTTGCACGGAAGATTCGGTTGCAGAAGGGACAAGGGATGAGTAGGACATCTCCAGGAGGGTTGCTAGCGCGTGCTTTTCTGACTTGCCTCTGCAGCTCTGCAGTTGCTGTCCTGCTAGATTCGCACAGCTTGGAGCCTTTGTGCAGATAGGAACGCCAAGTAACTCGATCGCTAGCTGTTAGCTCCCATGAATCAGGCTTTATGTTGAACACTTTCAATGCAGCTTTCAAATTGTGTTTGAAGAATTTCTTCTGACCTCCATGGAATCGCTGTCCTTGCTGTAGTTTGCCATAAAAGCGACTCTTAGGCAGCCGGTGGTCTCGCATGCGTACAATATGACCCACCCAGCATAGCTGTGACTGTATCAGTATGATGTGAATGCTGGGGAGAAGTGCTTGGGAAAGTACCTCGGTGTCTGGGGCATTGTGCTGCCACTTGATGTCGATGATTTTCCTGAAACTTGCGTTTTGAAGTGGTTCAGCTTTATGGCATAGCGTTGATACACTGTCCACGTTTCGCATGCGTAGAGTAAAGTGGGGAGCACAACTGCCGTGTAGACCTTTAGTTTGGTCGTGATGCTGATGTCTCTTCTTTTTCAGACGTTGGCATACAGTCTGCCATAAGGTTGCGCTGGCTCTTGCTCTGGCTCTGGTTCACCTCGTTGTCATTGATGACGCTTTTTGATAGCGTGCTTCCAAGGTAGGTGAAGTGGATCACTACGTTAAGTTTATGGCTGTTGACGGTGATGTTGGGCTTGACATAAGCCTTTCCCGGGGCCGGCTGATGCAGTACTATAGTCTTCTTAGTATTGATGGTGAGACCAAAGCTTGTGCAGGAACTGGAAACCTTGTCAAAGCTGCATTGCATGTCGGCTTCTGAGCCAGTCAACGTTGCATACTGTCGTGGAAGTGCTGAACCATGGATATAAATTATTTCAGACATCCATACTTGGCCAACCACTTCTATAATCCTTCTCTGCTGACAGCATCAAAGGCCATTGTCAAGTTAATGTAGATGGAGAAAAGGTCGGCGTTTTTGCTCTTGATATTTCTCTTGTAGCTGCCTTGCAGCAAATATCATGTCGATTGTCCCACGTTCTTTCCGGAATCCACACTGGCTTTCTGGCAGGAGTCCCTTGTCAATGTGCGTAGTGAGAAAGTTAATTAGCATTCTGGTTAATATCTTTCATGCGAATGCGAGCAAGGATATACCCCGGTGGTTGTCGCAGGCCTGTCGGTTTATTTTGCGCTTGTTCAGGTGGATTATGGAAACATCTTTGAATTCCTGGAGGATTGTCTCTTGTTGCCACATCAGTAAAAACAGTTCGTGTAGCCTTTATCTCAGTGTTGTGCCCCCTTCTTTGTAAACTTCTGTTGGGAAGGCATTTAAGCTAGGGGTTTTGCAACTGGAGAGCAGATGTATCGCCTTCTGTGTCTCAGGCAAGGTTGGAGGATCGTTGATGGGTAATTGGGGGAGACGGCTGATGGATGAAGGGAGATTCGTGATTCCGTTAAAGTGTTTGGCCCATTGTTCAAGAATCTTCTCTTTAAATGGGCTTAATACATCCAACATGGATTCTAAATAATACCCCTTGATATAATCTCCATAATTATAACTTTGTTTTAAAATGGGCTTAATACATCTGGTGTAGGTTTTAAATAATACCCTTTGCTATACACTTTCATGCCCGTTAGGTACATTATTACTCAAATATTTATTTCCATATTATATTTCCTGTCATAATAATAAGCAGCATCAAAATTTCTTGAAATTATATACAATTTCTTAGATTTTTATCATGATTTGCCAGATCAAAAGATTGATCACAACATTATTGTATTGTATATTAACATAATTAGTTTTGTACATGAATTCCATATACCTACGTTTCGATCCATACAACCCATTTTACCAAACTTTCATAACGTTTGTTTTATATATGTTCATTTGAATCATCATTATTAAATTTTAAAGTATAATTATAAAAAATAGGTCATATTGTTTGCAAAATAATTATTTCTGAAGAATTTCTTTGTATCCTTTAGTACGTTGAATATATCTTCGAAAACTGGAGCATTTAACTCTTTTTTGGGACAAGAATAATGTTGAATTGTTACTATTTGTGAAATCTGACGTTCATTATTTTGATAATTATTCAAGTTATTTGATAAATTCTATCCTGTATTTTTTACAAAAGACTTGGGGCATAGTTCTGCTCAGCCTTTCAGTTCTTAAGTAGTTAAGAATGATAACGTAATCATTTTGTACCCAGTCGTCGTTGTGAACCATGGCGAGTTCATCAGTAACTACGTGGAAGTTACTAACTGTCCATATCTCAGATAATAATAATAATAATAATAATAATAATAATAATAATAATAATAATAATAATAATAATAATAATAATAATAATAATAATAATGGCAGCAATAGTAGCAGCAGAAAAATAATTCTTTTAAGGACATGTCTTGCTGGGTTGGAGACCATTTTTCCACATTCATTTCAATTAATCCTTCTTGTAATATTTCCATGGTGAATTCATTTAAAACCGAAGTCTAGGCAATAACACACCGCTCTGATGGCCTAGTGGTTAGAGCGTCCGCCTTGGATGCTGGAGGTCGTAGGTTCGATCCTCAGTTAAGTCATACCAAAGACTTATAAAAATGTTACTAACAGCTGCCTCGCTTGGCACTCAGCATTAAGTGGTTAGTGGTTGGACTGGTCGGCCTGGAGTCACGATAATGCGAACTAGGTGGGACATGATGCTACATGTCTGCAGCATGATTCCCCAGTGCTAGACCTCACAATAAACTGCCACACTGCATACATCGTAGCGATATGACTGAAAATTGTTACAGATACGTTAAGAATCCAAATCACACACACACACACACACACACACACACTCACACACACGGCAGTAACAAGCTGAAATGTTATATGGTCCTTTCAGCAGATATGATTTTTAGTCCTTATATGACAGAATAATGTCCATATTTTTTTCTTGTGAATTAAGCAGAAGTATATTTATGGTCCAGACAATAGACCATACTTATCTACATCTTTTTTCAGTTCAGCAACAAGTCTGTGTCACATAATTTAGTTTTAGTTCTCAATAGAATATAACAACGTCTCTGGACAACATGTTTAGATCCATCAGATAAACATGAAAGAAATATATTATCTTGGATGATTCATTTTATCCATCCATCATCCATGTCTGCCCCAATAAGCGAGCATCTTTATCATTAGCTGTCCTTGTTGGAATAAGGCTGTGGAAATTTGAACGACAGGGTGATATTCGTGGTATTCAAAACAAAGACATAAATCCTACAATTTTTCCGTTCTTGAAAAAGTACTTGAGTGAAGAATGGACTGAACTCACTGCAGTATTGCACAAAAGTATCTTAGTCAGATAAACCTCCTTCATGAAGCATGCAAATACATTAATATGAAGGACTGCAACTATTTGGGCTAAATATTTCCATCCGATTGTCGATGTAAAACTAACATTTATAATGAAAACGTGGCCAAGCGGGGTTTTTGTCGCAAAGAAATGAATAAATAAATATATATTGTTTGTATTAGTTTATTATAAATGGACATTGATAGAAAGAGCAAATTGATACGAATCTTTGATGAGGGGAAAATGTTACGGTGTTGTTTGGTAACCTGGAGAAAATTAAATTGCATTGTCTGAAATGCAAACACACGAATATCGAGGAAAACATGACCACTCCAAAATAGACTGGAGTGAGAGATTCACAATTTGTCACATTTGATCCACTACATGCTTCATATTTAACTCGCTTAAAAGAACAAAACATTTGATTTGAAAAAACCATGGATGGAATTTTTTGACAGACATTTCCATGCGTAATATGAATAGAATCAATCTGAAAAAAATACCCATGATATTGACGTGGTTGCGGTTATAATCAGACAAACGTATCTGGCCTCTATTACACGTTTTGTTTGGTTAAATTGTAACAAGGAGGAGATGAAAATATAACAGGTTTTAGTTACTAAATATATGTTGAACAGCATGCATTGCGAGGATTGGAAATGCAAACCACTTCCACCATTCCTATAAACAAGGGACATTTCAACAGTATTGTCAATAGAGGATCCAATATATAAAAAATTATGGTATTATTGGAACCTCTGGGCATACACAGATGTATCGCAAGGTCTTTTGGTGTTACTGGAACCTCGTGGCATACACAGATCCATCGCAAGGTCTTCTGGTGTTATTGGAACCTCTGGGCATACACAGATCCATCGCAAGGTCTTCTGGTGTTATTGGAACCTCGTGGCATAAACAGATCCATCGCAAGGTCTTCTGGTATTACTGGAACCTCGTGGCATACACAGATCCATCGCAAGGTCTTCTGGTATTACTGGAACCTCTGGTCATACACATTTGTATCACAAGGTCTTCTGGTATTACTGAAACCTCGTGGCATACACAGATCCATCGCAAGGTCTTCTAGTATTACTGGAACCTCTGGTCATACACAGATCCATCGCAAGGTCTTCTGGTGTTATTGGAACCTCGTGGCATACACAGATCCATCGCAAGGTCTTTTGGTATTACTGGAACCTCTGGGCATACACAGATCCATCGCAAGGTCTTCTGGTATTACTGGAACCTCTGGGCATACACAGATCCATCGCAAGGTCTTCTGGTGTTATTGGAACCTCGTGGCATGCACAAGTCCATCGCAAGGTCTTCTGGTGTTACTGGAACCTCGTAGCATACACAGATCCATCGCAAGGTCTTCTGGTGTTATTGGAACCTCCCTGCATACACAGATCCATCGCAAGGTCTTCTGGTGTTATTGGAACATCGTGGCATACACAGATCCATCAAAAAGTCTTCTGGTATTACTGGAACCTCTGGGCATACACATTTGTATAACAAGGTCTTCTGGTGTTACTGGAACCTCGTGGCATACCCAGATCCATCGCAAGGTCTTCTGGTGTTATTGGAACCTCGTGGCATACACAGATCCATCACAAAGTCTTCTGGTATTACTGGAACCTCTGGGCATGCACTGATCCATCGCAAGGTCTTCTGGTGTTACTGGAACCTCGTGGCATACACAGATCCATCGCAAGATCTTCTGGTGTTATTGGAACCTCTGGGCATACACAGATACATCGCAAGGTCTTCTAGTATTACTGTAACCTCTGGGCATACACAGATCCATCGCAAGGTCTTCTGGTATTACTGTAACCTCTGGGCATACACAGATACATCGCAAGGTCTTCTGATGTTATTGGAACCTCTGGGCATACACATATACATCGCAAGGTCTTCTAGTATTACTGTAACCTTTGGGCATACACAAATCCATCGCAAGGTCTTCTGGTATTACAATAACATCTGGGCAGACACAGGTCCATCGCAAGGTCGTCTGGTGTTACTGGAACCTCGTGGCATACACAGATCCATCGCAAGGTCTTCTGGTGTTATTGGAACCTCTGGGCATACACAGATCCATCGCAAGGTCTTCTTGTATTACTATAACCTCTGGGCATACACAGATCCATCGCAAGGTCTTCTGGTATTACTGTGACCTCTGGGCATGCACTGATCCATCGCAAGGTCTTCTGGTGTTATTGGAACCTCTGGGCATACACAGATCCATCGCAAGGTCTTCTGGTGTTATTGGAACCTCTGGGCTCACCCAGATCCATCGCAAGGTCTTCTGGTGTTATTGGAACCTCGTTACATATGTTTAATGCACAGACTTCAGATAATATTGGAATATCCAGGCTTGAGTAGATCTTTTGCTTACTTGGTATTGCTGGTATCGCGAGACCTGCATAGATGCGTCGCAAATTCTTCTCGTGTCATTGAAACATCTGGTCTTGCACAGATCTAAAGTATTCTTCAGGTATTATTGGAATATCCAGGCCTAAAATTTATCAAGTATTAGAGTAAACGTTGAAATCCTTTAATAGAACTGTGATATTCAGTTAGCGCAATTCTTTGTAATTATTTGAGTCTTTTAACATAGAAATCCGTCATAAAACATTACTTAATATATCAAGTAATATATATTACTGAAATCTTACCTGAAAATAACAAATGCATCTATTTGATTAATCAGATTATTTGAAAGCAATACTTGGAGTAGAGCAATGGTTTTATAACATACAAATTTTAAAGTACATATATGTGTCTGATACAGTCTGTCTTTTCTGTATGATTTTTATTCAAAGTTAGTGAACAGAAGCAAGGGTTGAAACGGGAGCCACTGCATCCATAATATTAGAAAAGAGCAAAACTGTAGAGCCAGCTATTAACAACAGACATACAAGATTAACTAAAAATACGACTTGTCATGGCGATTTAGAGATAGGCAGACCAGAGATGATTAAAGAAAGATATTTTGGTATATATTTTATACATGCAATACAAACTGAGAAGACAAAATATAACAGACGAAACTATTTTGAGTGTAAACGGAAACCAAATAATTTAAAGATTAATCAGAAACATTTACTTAATATAAAAAGTGCCTTAACATATGTGTTACTTAGCTACTTATTATTTGTATTTGTTACTTAGCTACCCACTATTTGTATTGGCTACTTAACTACCCACTATTTGTACGGGTTACTTAGCTACTGATTATTTGTATGCGTTACTTAGCTACCCACTATTTGTATGAGTTACTTAGCTACCCACTATTTGTATGCGTTACTTAGCTACCCACTATTTGTATGGGTTACTTAGCTACTGATTATTTGTATGCGTTACTTAGCTACCCACTATTTGTATGGGTTACTTAGCTACCCACTATTTGTATGCGTTACTTAGCTACCCACTATTTGTATGCGTTACTTAGCTACTGATTATTTGTATGCGTTACTTAGCTACCCACTATTTGTATGGGTTACTTAGCTACCCACTATTTGTATGCGTTACTTAGCTACCCACTATTTGTATGGGTTACTTAGCTACCCACTATTTGTATGCGTTACTTAGCTACCCACTATTTGTATGCGTTACTTAGCTACCCACTATTTGTATGCGTTACTTAGCTACCCACTATTTGTATGCGTTACTTAGCTACCCACTATTTGTATGGGTTACTTAGCTACCCACTATTTGCATGGGTTACTTAGCTACCCACTATTTGTATGGGTTACTTAGCTACTGATTATTTGTATGCGTTACTTAGCTACCCACTATTTGTATTTGTTACTTAGCTACCCACTATTTGTATGCGTTACTTAACCACCCACTAATTGTATGTGTTACTTAGCTACCCACTATTTGTATGCGTTACTTAGCTACCCACTATTTGTATGGGCTACTTTACAACTCACTATTTGTATGTTTTCACATTATTCAGTAAATTATTTAATTAGTAAAACCTGTTACATTTTATACGTTCTCCGTCAGTATTGTTTCAATAAATAGATTTAATGCAATTCCAATTTTCTTTTCATTCAAATTATTCTTCTGTTAAAAAAATTGAAAAAATAATTAAATGGAAAATATGCATTAGAAAATAGTCGTTGATAATTTATGAACTTAAATATTCGACATATTTGCAATGATTTCAACTGATGACATAACCAAATCAACAACTGACTCATGTTTACAAGTAAGGTGATATCTTTCACT